GATACACATGAAAAAAAAAAATTAAAAATAAAATAAAATTGTATATAAAGGACTATACAAGAATACATTATATCTTGTATAATATACAATTATTTTTCATCTGTGGCAACCCCATATTTCTTTTTCAATCGATCTAATTCATCACGTTTTTTGTCTTGATCAATACGCTTGAATGCCTGTAAGAACAAATAATTCAATTTTATTGTAATTATTGAAAAATGCACATACATGGAACTAAGTCTGTAAACTAAAAATCCAGAATAAGAAAATGGATTTATTCTGAAAGTTATAGGGTTACAAAATAAACAAAGCACGTTAAAATAAAGAAAATATATTTGAGGAGTTTATCAGTTTAACAAAATCTAACATGCCTTTTGAACTTTTGTTTTCATACTTTTCAGATGGTTCTGAAAGTTGTTAATCATAAATTGGTGGAGCTTGTTCTGAATGATTTTGTAAAATAGTTTGTAACAAGCTCCTTCGCACATAGATTTCCATCTCCATCATTCATGTTGAAATTAGCCTCATCCTCCATCACACACTCTGCTTTGACTAGTACCAAAAATGTATGATTAATCTCATCTGCGGTACCTTAGTCACATTATTTTACAAGGAATACATCATGACCCAATTGATCAAAAGCAGTAAACTTTAAGCAAACTGGGACATTATCATATCTGGCCCAAGCATGTAATCTTCATATGGAAGTGCTTCATAAATGGGACTAGTCTGTTCTTGATGCACTCCACACTATATCCCTGTAATCAAAAAGTATCAGGAATGATTCAATAAAATGCAAGATTTGAATTTATTTTGTCCCCTTCAAAGTAATTCCATCCCACTGCAATGCACTTATGTCAACATTTTTTCCATTCCTCGAAACATGCTTAAAGTCTTTTTAATGAAACCCCTTCAGAACTTGCAGCAAATTTTGTTTCATGACATCAATTGACTCAAAGCAGTGGTGAAGAAGCAGAAATTTTAGTTGAAGAAACAGGAAAAACTCATATAGTGCTATAGCAGATGAATACAAAGCTTGTGGACCATATTTTTTTGGTTTCACAAAAACATTGTGAGCAGGTGCATTGTCATGGTGCAACATCCATGAGTTTTCTCACCACAGATCAGGTCATTTTCTACAAATTGCTTCACTGCAAACAATGCAAAATGCTCAAATAATATTCTTTGTTGACAGTTTGGTTCTTATTCAATTTTTATGATGCACAACACCATGATAATCAAGGAAAACAGTCAACATGACCCTTGATTTTTGACTGACTTTATTTGACATAGTCTTTTTGGTCTTGCTTCACTTTTTGAGAACAATTCACTTGATTGTAGAGCTGTTTCAGTGTCAAAAGTGAAATTTCATATTTTATCACCTATAATGTTGTGTTTTAAGCAGGGCTATGGAGTTGGAAAAAATGTGTCAACTCCGACTCCAGCNACAAAATTATTAAATAATAATTTTATTAATCATTTAATTAATATCATCACAGAATAAAATATAAAAATTTCTAAGCTAAAATTCATGTATTGTAGTATTTCCCAGAATAAAAAGGGTGCCAATGTGCTGAATTTCAAATGTACATCACTCTGTCATCATACTCTAACTAGCAATGAAAATTCTTTGAAATGTACTATTTAAATTTTTGAAAAATCTGAAAATTTAAGCATGACATTATATTGTATGTGGCATTTTTTTATTCTTTATCATTTCAAATTTCTTGCAAAAATATCAGAAATTTCAAAAAATTATAACAGTTTAACAGTCTGAATCATATGTAGTGTATCCTTGTACGAATTTTTGTGTACTCTTTGTTATTTTGGTCCCACTCTCTACTGATGAACAAAAATTTGTAAGTAGAATTTAATCACCCCCTTTCTCATCCTATTAAATATTTGTTAAAAATTAATTTTTTTTATACAAATAAATATTAATGTAAGTTAAGTATTAAAAATACTAGCTATAAAAGTATGTCGGTAAATGCCCCAGGCTCTTTTCAGAGTTCAGAGTAGGGTAACCCCTATGAGCGCCTCTGCCCTTATACAATGACTTGGTATTTAATTTTGCCGGAGTCAGCCTACTAAAATTATCAGGAGTCAAAGCCAAGTATTTTTTTACAAACTCCGCAGCCCTGGTTTTAAGAACAATTATAAAGTTTCCAGTGTATTATCATTAATCAGTGTATTATCATAAATTACAAATATAAAGTTTCCAGTGTATTATCATTTGAAATGGCGATGATTTTCCGACCACAAGTTTGACCACAGGGACATGTCCAGGTATTTTGGATAGAAACAATATGATATTTTTTAATTGTATTTCTGAGGTAACTATTATCCTTATTACCCTTAATGAATCTGTGGCTTGCCAGTAAAATTTATTTTATATATAAGCTACAGATTCTGTCAATTTTATCAATTTGATAATATTCTGTCACCAAATCTCTAAAATGTACGTTACGGATGGCTCAAATAAAACAATTTTGTTCCACTTGTATTTGTTAATTGCATAATTGGATGCAGTACTGCAAACAGTTATTCCATATCTTATTTTTGCTTCAGCACACATATGATATAATTTCTTTAAATGAGTGATACTCAAAAACACCTGAATTTTTCTTGTTATTTCAGTGAACTTGGCAAGAGACAAGGCAATACAGAGTATCATCTTACCAACAGTATATCATCAGTTAGTTACTTACACTTTATTTCAGTCATTTTAACCACTTCCACTTCCTTCAACCCTAGATAGCTTTTTCTTCTCTTCCACTCACTCAATTATATTATATATTGTGATATTTTGAATGCCCATATATTTAAAATATTCCACAGTAAAAAGTTTACCATTTATCAAATTCTTAGTATAAAAATTTTCAATAATTTTTCTACATTCCTTTTCTGTTTGAGTTAGAGAAATGGAAGTCTTAAAATACATCCATTTCTCTAACTCAAACAAATTTCAAAAAACAACATTTGAAATCAAATAAGCAACTCACATGCAACAGCAAATCTGTAAGTTCAGTTCTGATGTTGCATGTGAACTGTTTATGTAAACACACACATACAGAAAAAAAATAGAGGAACTTATTCTGGATTTTTAGTTTACACACACATATATAAAGCTCAAAATGTTTAGCAATAAAACATTATTTTGAGTTTTATATATAATTGATATTGTTTTGTTAAACTACAGTTTCTCATTTATGATATCAATGAATATACTATTAAATTAACAGTTTTTTTTACTGAGTTTCCTGTAAGAACTAATTAGTTAAAAAAAAATCGGCTTATCTTGTCAAATACCTTTATTTCATAAATTGCCATTTAGTAGCTGTAGATGCATTTCAAGATTATTTATCCCTTCTTTAGTATGGAAGAATATTAGTTCTAATAGGAAGCTCAATAAATTAACTCAACACAATTCCAATTAGTTTATTATTAAATATTTTTAAATTTTAATAATAATAAAATGAATGATTAACAATTGGTTTTTTATTTTCCCATTTTTTGCAGAAATGTATCAATAATTAAATTTCATAATTGAGTTGCTAGAAGGAACAAAATAATATATTCAGAATATATTCCTATTCTTTTAGCTTTTCTAATGTATAAGAAAAGTCTGGTCTTTGTTTCTTGTTTTAATTATGCCAGTATGGGATGGTTTTTGAATAATGCTTAAATATACTGAGTACAATATAAGCATTAAACAATTCAGATTTAGTGCTCATTCATTATTTTATTTTCCATATAACTTAAAAATTTCCATTTTGACACTTACTCTTTTGTTCTCCAGAGGAGCTCAATTATTGATATATTTTATGTAAAAATTAGTGTTAATACTTATTAAAATTTCTGCAATACTGATTTTAATTAAATCTTATAATTAGCTACATTTTAAAATTTATTTAATTAATGATAATTTACATTAATTTTCTTTGCTAAATGTATTAGTAATAAATTGATTCTCTCTCTTGTTCTGCAGACACTTTTTAAGCATCATGAATTTGGTCAGACTAGTTGATAATAAACAAAGCCTGAGATATCTTGGTAAAACCACCCATAAAAATTTGAATCGGAGTCCTTAGAGAAATACAATGATTCCTTTATGGCTTAAACTATCCTACTATTCAAATTGATACTCCATAAAACATATATTATATCTGACTATTAAACATAGATAATTTAATTAGGAAACTTGTAAAATTTTAAAATTTAACAGATTATTTGTTTACTATTTTTTTAATTTTGAGCAGAAAATTTAAAATATCAATATGATGAAAAAACTAAAAATAAGGATAATCTCAATAAAGTATAAAAATATGAAATGTAAAAAATAAATAATATTGAAATACAAACATTTATTTTATTACTTTTTGTCTGTAATAATTTTCATTACTTTGTAATAAAATTTGAAATTACAAATTTTAATTTAAAAAATTTATTTACTTAAAATTCTTTATTACTTTTGTATTCATTTATCATAAATGAAAAAACAAAATTATTAAATAATAATTTTATTAATCATTTAATTAATATCATCACAGAATAAAATATAAAAATTTCTAAGCTAAAATTCATGTATTGTAGTATTTCCCAGAATAAAAAGGGTGCCAATGTGCTGAATTTCAAATGTACATCACTCTGTCATCATACTCTAACTAGCAATGAAAATTCTTTGAAATGTACTATTTAAATTTTTGAAAAATCTGAAAATTTAAGCATGACATTATATTGTATGTGGCATTTTTTTATTCTTTATCATTTCAAATTTCTTGCAAAAATATCAGAAATTTCAAAAAATTATAACAGTTTAACAGTCTGAATCATATGTAGTGTATCCTTGTACGAATTTTTGTGTACTCTTTGTTATTTTGGTCCCACTCTCTACTGATGAACAAAAATTTGTAATTGTTAAATAAACAACTTAGTTTCAATAATTAATATTTATAATACTCATAAATTTTTCATAAGTGACAGTGACTATTAAAGAATTTAATTAAAGTATTTATTCTTTCCAAAAACAATAATTATATATATAAAATATTACAAATTATAAACATTTCTCTATTTATTAAATATATTCCCTACATAAATTTTCAATTAAAAAATATATTTTAACTTATATTATATTATAGTACTGTATATATATTCATATTACATACCTTGTTTGATTGATAGTACAAAACAACTAAGTAACGATTACAAACATTAAATCCAGACAAATGATCACAAGCATTTTTGGCATCAAATATATCTTCATAGACAACAAATGCTGTTCCTCTTGTTTCAGGTGTGTTGCCTCTATAATATATTAATTATTTCAATATTTGTATAAAAATCTTAAACAATAATCTGAATATAATTTGTAGTTTAATCTTTATACTTATATAATTACTTATAGAATAAGGAGCAATTATTTTATTATGACAAGTTCACAATGAAATTGCTGCTGATTTGTAATCTTACACAAAATTATATGAATATGTCATATTTATATGTATTAATTATTTCAATATTTGGAATTGTTTCNTGTTTTTGTAAAATTATTAAATCAATATAGATAATATTTGAGAAAATAATTTTATATGTAAACATTATTTTCATTATCAAAAAACATCATCTGCTTGGACAGAAAGCTACAAAATTTTTTAAGTAAAATGAATCTATCTAGATTTTGCTGCAAAACTGAGTGTAATCTATTCAATAAAAAAAATTAAATTAGAATATCAATAACAAGAAAAAATTAATGTAAAATAGAAAAGTTGTGGAGTCAGTACACAAAACCACCAACTCCAGCTCTGATTCTGCAGTTTTTAATTTTCTAACTCCAACTTCTAAATTTTGACAGCTTTGATTCTAATCCCTTCATTAAAACTCAATATGTATTAATTAATGAATTACTAACTGAGTAAAAACATTTTATATGTATATTTATAGCTATATCACGACATTTAATATTTTTTATTGCATCTGAGTAATATTTATTCTATGTCATGATAATCTACGTCATAATAGAATTATTGTCATTAGCGAGACGTTTTATGTTCGTTGTTTCATATAATCAACTAAATAAATAAATAAATAGGATAAATCTTTTCATTATTTTAACTATTCACTAACAATCTTAACAGACCAACAAATGATTCACAAAAGAAATTAAAAAGAAAGTTTGGGGCTAACTTGATGCCAATACCCTTTACTCGTGACTGACTGAACTTTGCATCTGTGTTCTTTAACACAGTGCTACTCAAACTGTGATTTGTGGGTCAGAGTTGATATGTTTTATAATTAATTTTATTTAATTTCACAAAAGTATTGGTCCACAAGGAGTTGGAATGAAAAAAACAACTGCTCTGTATTGTTTTAAATAAAACATTTTATTTCCAAACATAAAAGCCTTTATATGGTATTGGTCACACATTTTACATACAGTATTATTATATTTAGTGTTATATATAAAGGGATTAGTTATATAAAACTATAAATTTGTAAATTTAGATGATAAATTTATAGTCATAAGCAGTTAATCTGAATTTTAAAGTAATTTGATTATTTATTATTTTATTTATTCTGCTTTTATTGGAGTTAATCTCAAAAAATAAATCATCATTATCAAATCTTAATTCAGTGGATTTCGTATTAGTGTGTTACAATGTTACAGAGGCATAACTAAAGCAACGTTTAGCAAACCGTGGTCCGTTCGGAGTCACAAAAAGGTAATCACGTGTTAAGAATAAGACATCACTCACTGCTCTATCACACAATGCCAGAAGCACATCAGAGACACCACATGGCAAAGGAATGCACCACTTTTGCGTAGTCACACAACCAAGCGACATAGAAGCGAGGTCATGCCACATGTTTTCTATGCATCTGCCACTCCACAACAAGCTCAAGCAATGGCACTCGAATGGGACACAGTCAATAAGTAGTCCTACAATTTGTTTAGAGCTCTTTTTATGTGTCACACCTAAACATTTCTATCCATTTAGGACATGTCTACTAGTGAGGTCTCTCAAGAAACCAAAATTAAGAAAAAAATGCAAAACAAACTCTGGAATTTTACCAAAATATTAAACATTTGTAAACGGTTCTAAATCTCAGGCCTAATGCAAGAAAACATTTGATTGATACTGATTTGTGAATTGTGATCAGTTCTCGACTATTGTAGAAGGTCGTAATGGACAAATATATCAGAGTAAAATTATAAATGCTGTATTACATTTAAATTTTAGTTCGTATATTGAAATAAATAAAAGTATATTAACAAAGGCTGTTTGATATTCAGTTTGTATATAATTAAATCCACGAAAATTTTACTTACACTCTGATCTGTCTGATGGCGCCATATTTTCCAAATATATCATACATTTCTTCGGCTGTTATTTTATACGGAAGATTACGAACGTACAATATCCTATTGACTTCTGGAGGAAGTCGAACCTGAAAGATTTAACCTTAATCAATTTCACACATCGCCTACCATTAAACAATAACGATGGAAACAGAGACAAGCAAGCATTCTAATTAAATATATTACAAACTTACATTTGTTTTTCTTTGCATCGCCATTTTTACTCGAATAAAAGTCCAGCAATTGAATCAAACGTGACAAACTTTCCGACGTAATTCCTTCGTAACTAATCTCGAACGCCACCAGGTGTCGGAAATACGAAACAACAAAATATGGAAGAAAAATCTACGGTGCTGCCGTCCAACTTTTCTCTCGGACCGCATGGCTTAGGTATTTTTACATATGATTTTAAAAAGTATTATTATTATTATTATTTGATAATTGGAAGACGTAACCCGCGTTTTGTGATTGGATAGGAGATCCGAATGATCGCTCGCTTAGGAGAGTCGAGAGAGAAGTTCTCATACCCAAATTGATGCGCGAAAAAGCTAAAGGGAAATGTACGGACGAAGTAAAAGGTTTGGTCTACTCGTAAATCCGCTTATAAGATACGTATTTAAATATTTTAAGTGAAAAATAATGTAATATTTATTATTTATAGAATTTGAAGACTGTTGCAAAATGAGCGGATTCAGCATGGTAATTAAGTGCCGAAAACAAAACTCGGAGTTAAAGAAATGCATTCAAAATTGGTATGAATTTTTAAACGTAAACTTTTATTTCTAATATAATCGTTTATAATAACACGTTTCCTTTGTTCTGCACGTGGAATCAAAGATAGTAAAGAAGCATTCTCATGGTTTCGGTATCATTGAACACGGTTGACATTTAATTTTACAAGAAAAATTATATTTTCCATCCAATTTTTGTTGCTTCCACTTAAACTTGTATGGTACGTTCGACTTTCGTTCGTGGTAGAGAATGCCTGTTAATTAAGAGACGATGTACGCATTCTGAACCCCAAACTTTGTAAAATTTTCCAACCATTTGGCTTATGAAGTAAAATGAAATTTGGTTTACTTGGCTAAATAGTCGAAAGATGGTATCGCTTGAATCTGGCAATCCCACCGACATAGATGTAATGCCTGTTTTAAGATGGATCTGTGGTTAGCAAAACTGATACAGATTGTATAGTATCTTTTAAAAAATAGAATTTTATTTTGTGTTAATGTCTCATTTAACACCTAAATAGGGGCCAGTTTTTCAAGGATAGTCTTCTTAGGAGGCAACCATGAGTTGTGTTGCAATATTCCATCAAACCAAACCAATTTAATAAAGTTGCACAATAATGTATAAAATCCTCCCACAGGCAAGTTTTTCTAGCTTTAATTTGAAAACCATATCTAAAGTATTCAATAGATATAGCTGTTAAACGATTACTTTCTACTGTGATGCCAATCTTGAGAGACAAAGACAAACTTGAAGATGTATGAAATTTGGTTTACTTGGCTAAATACCTGCTTTATATTCTAAAGTATATAAAGCAGGAATATATGATAAAACTAATTAAAGATGCATATAGTTTTTATTACATTGGTTTTATGTGTATGTCTTTATCAAGAGAATCAAAGAGCTTTAGAGTATTTTACTTACTAAAGGGCTCCAGCCAAATATGTACTTTACTATTATAATGAGCTCTAAAGCTCATTATAATAGTAAAGTATTCCACATTACTTGAAATATGGATTTTAGAATCCATATTTCAAGTAATGTGGAATACTCCCATCTTAGAGAATCAAGGGCTGGACTTTCAGCATAGGTTTATAGAGCAATTATACATATTTCCTCTAAGCATGCTATGGCAAGTAGCACTCATGATATGCAAGATATACATGTACTGTAGCTTGGGGTTGGTTGTAGATCTTCTCCAGTTGTTTAAAATTACTGACCATGTTTGCTTGTGTTTCTGTATGTCTGACATACAGAAGCATAAATATTTATTCTTAAATTAATGTTTAATTATTATTCATTCTAAATTTTATGAAAAGTTTATTTAAGTTTCTATTCTATTTTTCTTAACCATATTGTAAAATTAAAAATCCACCATGCTTTTTCAGGTAGCAAAATGTTTTATTGGGTTGACCAATAAGTCCTTGTAGTTTTGTTGTTAGATAGTGGTAGACATTATGAAAAGCAACAAACTTCAGTTCAAATTTTGTAAGTTTGTAACCATTTAAAATTGAAATTTCAATGTTTAAAAAAAAAAAAAATGCATAAAGATTGGTTGGTGTTTTGTGTGTTTAATGTCAATTAAAAGATGAATAAGCAAAATGAGCATTTTCAGCATGTTAGGCTTTTTTATTTTAAAAAAGCCAAAAATGCAGCACAAACTTGTAAAAACCTATGTACAGTACAATGTATGACAAGGATGCCTTGAAAGAACATGTGTGCAAGAAGTGCTTTGCAAGATTTTATTCTGGAGATTTTTTTGTCCAAGACACACCATGCTTGGGCCAGTCACAAGAGATCAACACTAAGTGAAGGACTAATTCACACCAATCCACACATGACATGAGACATTCTCAATATCAAAATTGAGTGTAGAAAACATCTGCATCAACTTGGTTCTCTTAGCAGGCTCAATGTTTGGGCTCAAACAAGAATTGACCAAAGTAAATCTCTTAGAATGCATTTCATTAGCAATCCATAAAAAACACAAAGAAAGTGATCCATTTCTGAAGCAGATAACTGTCATTGAAAAGTGGAGTATTTACAACAATGTCAAGTGCAAACAATCATAGGAACTGCACAGCAAACTATTTCAAGATCAGGGATTCATCCAAATAAAGATCGTGCTCTCAACTTTCTGGGAATGGAAGTGTGTTGTTTTATTAGCTGCTTCTGAAGAACAGAACAATCAATTCAGATGTATACTGTAGCCAACTGGACTAATTGAATGCAGCTATCTATAAGAAGCAAGTAGAATTGATAAACCAGGATATCATCTTCCATCACAAATATGCCAGACATCATTCATCTTTGCAAATAGAGAAAAAATTATTGGAATTGGGCTGGGTCGTGCCACATCCTTTACATTCACCAGATATTGTCCCCTCTGATTACCTGTTATGCTCTCCAGAATTTAAATGGCTAGCACTTCCTTTCCAAGGAAGGCATCAAATTGCACTTGAAATGGTTTTTTGCCAAGAAAGATAGGAAGCTTTGAGGAATTATGGAGCTGACCAAATATAAGATGTAGATCAAAACAGTCTGTTATTGAATGAAGTTTTGTTGTTTAAAGTTTCATGCTTTTTCTGAAAAAATTCTTTCATTTACACATTAAAAAACTGCATGGACTTATTGGCTAACTCTATATATGTAAAACATTGGCATATTACAGCTTCATGGGGACTCCTAATTCAAATGGTCCCAGGACCATTTGAATTAGGGAACCCCATTTAGTATAACTTCAAACATTTTTTTTTAGGAATTTTTGTGGGAAATCTCCCACTATCCTCGTTCATTTTTTAACACAACCTCTGGCAAGTTAACAAACCTTTAGCACTGTGCCATTGCACCCTTTGCCTGCACTACACCAGCAATCTAAGTCCCCACATTGTAGCCCAAATTTAAATTTTGATATTTTTACTACAGTAATGAGTTTATAAAAGATTGGTTTGGGACTCCCAGGCAAAAGACCTGAAACCCCAAACCAATTGCCTTTTTACCCATAGGATAACAGTGTAAAAAAATATTTTTGACATTTTCACAAGCCAGCTTTGGCTGCAGAAAAATTCTTGAACACTTTTTCTGAATCTGAAGATTGTAGCATACATCAGTTGAACAATGTATATATAAAATATGATGATCAATTATTTTTCATTTAAATGAACCATCATCTATTTATTGGAGTCATTCAAAATAACTTGAATGATTCAGTCTTCTCTTTTGGGTTTAAGAAAATAATTGATTTTTGTAACTTTTGGATGATTAATCTACCTAAATATTGCACAAAAATGTATTTTTAATTGTTGGTTTATCACAAGATGATTTTTTTAAACTGTTTCACATAATTTTACAGATGAGCATCCTCTAATAAAAGATCGTCTCTGTAAAGGAAGACTGTTCCTAGTGATCAAAAATGACAAAAGAAACTGTCAGTTTTCACACTTCTATATATTCTTAATGTAAATATAGTAGAGCATCATTTATCCAAATCAATTGGGGACTGAGGTTGTTCAGATAACCGATTATGTATGAAAAAATATATTAACCTATCCCATGTTGAAATTTTTCTCCATTGTGTGTCGCTTTGTGTTGAATTTTCGTTGAGTTAAGCCTAACAAAAATTTTTATAATAATCCTGTCTATTGTATCATTAAAAATTATTTCTTTATTTTGTACAAACAAAATAAATATATTGAATAATATATCTAGATTAACTTCTAAAGTATTTTTTTTTTTTTTTTTGATAAAAACAAAAAAAATTATACTTTAGAAGTTAATCTAGTATCAAAAACATGCGATTCAGTGCAACACACGTCTCGACACAGTCCTCAGAAAAACATTACACAAAAGTGCCAGTGCTGCAGCATAGCCAAAGGTTGCAGCACCACAGCACTAGCGGATATTTAAATTTGCCGACTGGAACACTTTCGGTTGACCAGCTTTCGGATAAATGACACTCTACTCTAATACAGCCAGCCATTTTTATTTGAAAATTGATATATTTTTTACAGCCAATAAATGATCAATGTTTGTTTACAATTTTACAAGATTATACTTTAAATTTGATTAAGAATCATCAATATTTAAGAGAAAAATGTGAAGTGCATGCTTCATTCAAATTACAAAATATCAAGTCAGTTTTTCACAATGGTGACAAACCTTTTGATATAAAATTTTATAAGCTCTTATTATTAAAATTGTTTTTTCCCACAGGTATGAAAATCCACAATTTAAGAAATTGTGCATAGAAGAATACTTAAAGGAGCGTTCAGAATATAGACAAACAGGTATAAAACAGTCAATGAAAAGGAAACCAATGGAGTCAATGTAGATACTAAATATTTACTTGTAGTATGTATATAATAAAATATTTATCTACAAATCTTATACAAATCTTTTAATTTCATTTCGTTTACATATCACAGTTTAACAATACTTCCCATTTATATAGGAATAACTACATATTCCAAATTAATAAAAACAAAAAACTTGAATTCACACTTTATAACAAATATTTTTTATATAACTATATTTTTAGATGATTTTGAGTATTTTTTGATAAGAATATAATGCAATATATATTTGTAATAGCAAATTCTTTTAATATACAAATATTGCTTTTCATTTTTATCTATACATTAGTAAATACAGAACAATAAACATTTACAGTTATAACAAACAATTTCAATATATTGGGTAAGATGAGACTGAAGCAAAATTCTCAATACCAGATAGCTGATTTCTTATTGGATGTTGACTGGTAATGAGAGAGCCTGGAAAAAAGTTTTTAGAGAATTAATTAAAGTAATTAATAAAGTATTTCAAACTTTAAATTAGAATATTCTTACTTCAGTTAAGGCGGCCCCAAGTCCAAAGACTCCAAGTCCTATTAAGAAAAAAAAAAAAAAAGACTTCTTTATTATGTTTTTAGAAATTTTCAACTTTACAGTTAGTAACAAAATGATAAAAACATCAAGTGAGCTGACAAGTTTTATACAAAATTATCACCACAAAATATACAAGAAATATTTTTACATAGGAAAAATTAAAAAATTCAGATCTCTAAACAAAAACATAATGGGCCCTACAAAAAGATGTACAGTATGTTAGAAACAACCCATAATACTTAGAAGCTAGTATGACATTGCTTCAGAATTCTTATATTCTTAATGTTTCATTTACGTCTTACATCTAAATGTCATTAATGCACAGAACTTTAAAAAACTGAACACCAGATGGATGGGAATACTAGAAACAAGAAGTTGGAAGGATACAGTTAAACAATTGCAAGACAAAAAAATGAAGGAGACAGTGTGATATAAGCGTGAAAATTAATACTTATAGCTGAATTGGGAAGCAATGTTAATACTGTGCAAGTGTGGGGTTTGATTTAAATTCAAACTATATATTTTCATTTTAATTTGTTATCATTTTATCCATTTCTTCTCCTAGTAAGCAAAGATGGGTTTGGCCTCCGACTGTACAGCAATTCAAACATCTGGTTTTAGCAGGCCATTCAACTCTATTCAGAAAATAGGAGTTAAAGTTTAAGGACATTCACCTCTTTAAATGGATGCAGTCCCATGCAAACATGCTAGTTTGCATATCAGGGGTGCATAGAGTGATGCCAGGTTTGGCCACTTTGTACCAAATTTGGCTCTTATTTTACTCTTATGGTGCCAAAAATTAATTTTATACTTTTTCAAACAATCTTCAACAGAAAAAATTACAGATTTGTTTTACATTTTGTTTAAGAAGCTGAAGCTGTCTTAAAGCAGCACAAAAACATTTCTTCATGGAAAAATTTAAACAGTTTGCTATCTGAAAGAAAGTATTTAATATATATAAGAAGTTTTTATTTCAAGTCTTTCTTTATCTTTTACAATATAGGACCATCTATATTACGTTTCACAAATTTTGGCCAGGCTGCTTTGATATGTAGTAGCAAGGATAATTCTAAGTATGTGTTCTGTAACTGAAGAATAAAAATTAAATTGACATAACAAGATGCGAAGCCCATCTCAGGTCACTGGTGTGTGTAATTTTCAAAGATTTTAGAGCCCCATTCAGATAATGCATAACTCCTAGCTGAGATTGTGAAATCACCTGTAAATGCTGATACAAATGCCAAGAGCTTTAAATTATATTCTATGTTTATAATGAAATTTGATTTGTGGAAATTTTCAAAAATAGTAAAATTTTAGAACATGAAGACTGATAAAATAATACTTTTGAAAATTTTAATCAATCTTCAAAATTAACAATAGAACCATTTGTCATTAAAAAAATTTCATTATGTAAATTTATATTTTATCATCTTATATAACTAAATGAAATACAGTGGAACCTCACTTAACAAGCATAATTCATTCCAGAATCTTACTTGTAATCCAAAACACTTGTTAAGCGAAACAATTTTTTCCATATATATTAATGTAAAATATGATAATGCGTTTCATGCCAAAAAAAAATACTCAAATATTTTATGTATAGTGTTTATTCAAAGAAAATTATACAATATACATTGTTAAAGAGTGTGAATCATCATCATCATCTAGTACTAAATGAACCAACCTGGTATGTGAATTTGATTTGCAGGAAAAAAAAAAATCACAGCTAATATGTCTGAAAAAACATGCCAAATTCTTGGGCTATGTAAAGTCTATAAATAAATATTAGAAATTAATTAATTTACCTAGAGGTAGGCAGTTATGCTGCATCTTGTATTAGATTTAATATTTCTAAATAAATAATTTTTAATTTAGACATTTCTAAAATTTAATTTGAAATTGGTCATTCAATTTAATATGAGATGGCGGCATAACTGCCTACCTCTAGGTAAATTAATTAATTTCTAATATTTATTTATAGCCTTTACATAGCCCAAGAATTTGGCATATCATTTTTGTGTTGATTATTGGGCCACTACTGTATTGTGGAATATCACTTTCAACTCTTTTCTTGGGGATAATTTTGGACAAGATAATTTATATGCCTATGAGGATGACGTCATACTCCCTATGGGTGGCTGATCTCGTGATGATTTGGAACATAGGGCCAAAATAATGCTAGAAAAAGTCTAACTGGGACAAAGAACACAAGTTATATTTCAACCCTGTGAAAACTAAGGGTATTGTTTTCAACAGATCAGGCCAGCCCAATCTCTATCACCGCCCCCACACATCAAAATGAATGAGAAGACAATCAAGATTAAGAGAGAGATTAAATATCTCGGCATGATTATGGACCATAGACTGTCATGGGACCAACACATTGACTATATAACCAAACAAACTGGACTCATTATACAAGCCTTCGCACAGGTTGCAAGGAATAACTGGGGGCTCTCCAGCGAAGCCATGAGTGCCATCTATGACCACATTTATGTCCCAAAGATAACATACGCTTGTGGCAGTGGGGGTGGGCTGCTCGCGAAGTGCATGAAAAAAGAAAACTTATCTCTTCGCAAAGGAAGGGGTTGATACTTCTTACCAAAGCATACCGTGCAGCCTGCAAATCTTGGCAAGAAAACCTCCCATTGATTTGACCATCACCAATAATGTCAAGCTGCACCATGCCAGGTGGGGCCTCGACATTCAAACTAATGATGGATTCATCTACTCAGGTGCCATTGAGAGACCCTACCGCTATAGCAACATCCCATACCCTGGGACCTACTCCAGGCTAAAGACATCCCCCCCACACCTGGCCAAGATCGAGCTATATACTGATGGATCTAAAATGAATGATAACATTGGTTGCAGCTACGTTGTTTATGAAGACAGCAGGGAACTACATCACAACTGCTTTCGCTTGGACAGAAACTGTTCTGTTTTCCAGGTTGAACTCATAGCCATACTCATGGCAATATCTTGGACTATAACTACAATAATACTTCATCCATATCTATACCGACTGCCTCTCTGCTAGCAGCCTCATTGGGAGCAACTCACTTCATTATCTTGCCTGTGAAATTAGAGAACTCATCAACAATTCCAACAATATATAGAGCATCTTCTGGACTTGTGCCCATCAGGGGACAGTAGGGAACGAGAGAGCCGACTTCTTAGCCAAGTCGGCAACTGCTAGTGACTCTGCTCCTATCATCTATAACAAAATCAGCAAACGAAGTCTACGCCATCTGCTGTGGACAGAGTGTCTTCAAGCCTGGCAAGAAAGTTGGAACCGTAATAATCAGCACATTACGTATAAATTCATTCCCAACATATAGCAGTTCTTCTCCCTTAGTTGGTTTACTCCTAGCTTTCAAACAACTCAGCTAATTACCAATCATGGAAAATTTGCAAAGTATTTCTTCAGATTTACCAACAATGACACTAACTTATGCCCAGTCTGCCAGGTTGAAGACAATAGCACACACTATATCTATGAGTGTATCACACTAGAAAAGGAAAAACTGGACTTAAAACTCCTCGTAGAAGACTCGGGCCTCACCTGGCCTTGTGACTACAGCGTGCTGCTTTCATCCAGAGAAATTTATCTGGCCTTCACTAGGCTAGCCAGGAAATTTGCTGAGCTCTCACTGGTGATTGTGAATAACTAACTGGCCATAATCCTACAAGTGGATTGCACTATGCCATTAACTGCTCATAATCTTGTTATGTTTACTGTATTGATAACTCTTGTTGCTGTGCTGTCATTTTATCATCATCTGTTCACCCTTATTGTTACACTAATATTTATCTATGTACTGTATTATTAGTATTTAGTTTGTTATCTTGGTTTGTTACTCCCACAATAGTATTTAGTTTGATATTTTGGTTTGTCATATACCATCAACCGTTCATAATGCTGTCGTGTCTATTGTATTGTTAACTCTTGCTGCTGTGATGTCATTATATTACCATCTGTTCACACTTATTGTCACGCTAATATATTTCTATGCATTTACTGTTTGTATCTAGTTTGATATTTCACCGTTTTAACCACCCAAATTCTGTAGCGTTAATGGTTTGCTATCTATTGTCTTGATGTAATTGTCATCTCTATCATCTGATCAAACTTTTGTTGCATTAATCCATACCCTCTACATTGTTAGTTCTATGTTTGTTATCTCACTCTTATTGACACGGTGATGTGTTGTTATGTTCTGATATATGTTCACTCTTGATTATTGTTTATTCTGTATATATCTATACTTACTGTATGTCATTCACATTTACTGTATGTTTTCAACCCTGGTAATGCCTTAAGCCCTGGTCACACTATGCGATTTCTAGCCGCGCAGGCGACTGCAACTGCAACAAGCGCGAGTCGCGCGCGTCTTCTCGTGGTCACACATTGTTCGTTGACGTTGCAACTCGGAAACACGTGGCCCTATAATAAACCAATAAAATTACAGTAGCTTGTTTTTGACTACTTTCGTGAGTTTGCCGATATTTTACGTTCTACTTCAGAGTATTTACGGAATTTTAGCCACTTTTCTTATTAAAATAGCAAGCAGTTCCTTTTCTGGAATGAATAAAAGAAAAAAGGCGATTATTTTAATAGAGCTGGCGAAAATACATGAAAAGATAAAATCTTCGATAAAACGAAGAATTAAAATCCCACAGGTATTCGTGAGCCTGAATAAGCTCGATCAATCTCGATTCTGTAAAAGTATTAATCCTCTGACTATCTGCCATGATGATGAACTATTTTCAATGTTGTCACTGTATGACGTGGCATAAAGGCGTTTGTTGATTGGATGCGTGTTTGCAATCGTCGCGAGTAGAACAAACTTTTTGTTTCTAGTTGCGATTGCAGTCGCGGCGGTTTTCGAGGGGGGGATTAGCAGTTAACGGGAACAGCCGTCGCGGTTGCAGTCGCCTGCGCGGCTGGAAATCGCATAGTGTGACCAGGGCTTTAGGCAGGGCCAGAAATGTACCTACTGTACGTTAATAAAAATTATTGTATGGTATTGTATTATTGGTGTGTTGATTATATAATGGGCTATGGTTGTTGATGTTTATATGTAATATGTCTGAACACAAGTTTGGAAAAATGTGTGATCACAAGCGACACTAAGATGCTAGTGGAATGAGTGCTAAACACAGACTGATGGAGCATGCGCACAATCTGGGACTTCCCCTCTTGTCACTTGTTATGCAAAACATTGCTCATTAAGCAAGTCAAATTTTTACAATTTGTTTTGCTTGTTACATGAGGTGCTCGTTAAGCGAGGTTTACTGTATAAAATTTCATTTATATTTTTAAAATACATGCAATATAGAATATTAAAAACACTTACTTGGCCTGAGGGGCAGCCAATTCAGCTCTGGGGAGTGAACCTTCAGAATTCTTCTGAAAAGCATCTGGTGCATATCTATTATACAAACCCCAAATGCTGTTCATCAATTTGCTATTATAGTTATGTGGAGTAAGAATCTCCAAAACTAGAATGAATAAATAAAAAAAGACTATTAAATTAACTTAAATATTTTTATTTTATAAAAGTTTTGTATTTAAATCATAATTTTACATTCTTAATATAGCAAAAAGATACACAATAAATATCCAATGTATACATTCTAATGTACTGTATGTAATCTTTTTTTCAGACAGAAAAAAAAGAAATGTGTTTTAACTCTAAATAGAATCTGAATTCCTATTTTGACAATATGGCTGAAAAAATTAATTCTAATTTCATTTTATTGAAAATTTAATAATCTATAATACTTCCACAAAATTCATGAAAACAAAATCAGTTATTTATAAATTTGTAACATTTGATAAATATTAAAAAATTTTAGTAAATATAATTAAAACATTCACAAAGAAATTTTTTTGTACCTAATATAATATAAAAATATACACAAAATATAAAATCATGCCTAAAAATTAAAAGATATTTTTAATAGAAACTGTTAAAAACAAGGATAATTTAACTTGTTCCTTGCAAAATCTTAAGTTTAAGAAATTTTAAAAAAATTAACATTTACAAGCTGTAAAGTTAGAATATGATGACAAACAAACGTTACAGTATTGCAATTTTTGTTTAATCTAACTTTTACATCTGTCTAATCAGATCTGTCTACCGAGTGCCTAGTAGGTAATTTGCAGATTACCTAGATAATCTGCATATTACCTAGGTAATTTGAGAAATAGAACAATTTTAGCAACTTTAACGGATCACGCTAGTTAATCTGCAGATTAGCTAGGTAATCAGATTAACTAGCGTGATCCATTAAAGTTGCTAAAATTGTTATTATATATACTGGAAGAGGAAATTGGACTGGAGGTCTGGATAGCCTAACTGGCAACGCATCTGCAAGGCAGTTTAATTAAGAAACTGAATGGAATCTAGTGAAATACCAAAATCTCAAAAAGAAAATGAAATATATGTAATACATAATGAGGAGTACATTATGTATTATATGGAGCCAAAATGTAGAGAATATTAAAAATAAGTTCAGTTGAAATAGATGTATTGTCAAGACTATGCAAATTACTATTTTTGCACAAAGAAAAAAAATTTAAAGAATTGATGAATAAAAGAAATCAGTATTGAGGAATTAATAAGAAGGCAGTTAATATGGTGTGGTGTGGTTACCTGAGAGTACCTGAGAGTACACACAGTCAAGGACAGCCACAAAATATGAGAGAAAGACCAAGAAAACCCCGAGAAGGTGGTAATATGATAAATGATGAGAGACACAGGAAGGAAGAAATATATATAAATAGAAAAGTAGAAAAATTACCTGACCGTCAGAAGACATCAGATTACACAAACTGATACTATTATGTATGCATATACATATAATGTATTCATAATGTGTTTGTAGAAAGATTGTATTTACAAATAACTGAAAATTTTATAATATTGTACAATATTTTTTTGGTTTACCCAACTAATTCTCCATTCCATCCAGTAAGTAAAAATTTCTGGGGAGAACACTTATAATTTTAAAATTAGAAAAAACCTTCATATTTAAATTTATTAAATCATCTTAATATGTTTAATTTTTTTTTAAATTTGCCATATATGATCAAAATAAAGTAATTATTTTGTGTTTGTATTTTTATGTGATATATATGTTCACAATACAAATAATAATAAATTTTGATATCTAATTTGTCCTTACAGCAAGTAAATAATTATATGTATAATTTAAGAATATGAAACTTACAAGACTTTGATGTAGGAGGCAATTCATTTCCTTTTGAAAAAGAATTTTCTCCCATAAACTGTGGTTTTTGTTGCTGCTTTTCTTTCTTCATATTTTCATGAATTTTGGCAGCACTGAAAGAGGTACAGGGTATTGAAGCCATTGAATCTAAAATAAAAATTTTTAAATGTTAATGAAAAGAAAATGATTTCATAAAATATAATAAAATATTAATAATTACCACTTTTAAATGTGTGCTGATAATTCAGGCAAACACAGGTTACAATGGTATCCTGTACCTGTCCAAATTTGGACAAAAGACTAGATAATTTTAATGATGATGATGAACACACTGTGAACTTCAGTTTGTAAAACTAAAATATAATAAGAAAAGTTTATCAATTTTTGATGTTACAATGCTAAAATAAAATTCAATAATTTACTTTTCTATTGTTTTATATACATTTGATCATACTGTATTATCATTTGAAATTAATGACATGATACTTAAATTATATAAAATTGGAAAAATTGACATTCATTAGCTTTAGAATAAAATGCAATCTAAAATTTTTTTATAACAACACATTTTTAAATTTCGTAGAATTTTGTTGTTTCATTCTGTACACATTATTTAAATGTTTAAAATCAGAAAAATACTAATAAACTCTATACAAGTGAAAAGAAAAGAATAATGTGATTATAACAAACATACAGTAGAGCATCGATTATCCGACTCAATTGGGGACTCAGGTTGGTCGGATAACTGAAAAATTGGATAACCGAAAAGAATGAAAAAAATACATTATTAGTATAGTATATTAGGATATTAGTATACCCCATGTAATTAGTATATCGCTATTAACCAACTTTGCATTGAATTTTCATCGATGTTAAGCCTAACAAATTTTTAAAAAAAATAATAATTGTCGCTATTATATCGTTAAAAATTACTTTTAAATTATTTTATTGCTCACAAAACAAACAACCACTCATAATTAGAAAATTAAGTCTTGTTTAAATACTGGCCTCCCTTCAATGGTCGAGCCAGTATTGTCAGCTAAAACACACAAAAATTTAACAAAAATAATATTAAAGTAGCCAAGACATAGCCAAATATTGTAATGCCACATCACTAGCGGACATTTGAAATTTGCCGACTAGAACGGTCGGTTAACCGATGTGACGGTTAACCAGGGGTCGGATAATCGATGCTCTACTGTATTTGATTTAATGGGAAATTTGATTTGATTGGTTTATTTGATGATAATTTTTCTATTTGAGGTTTATAATTAGTGGTCTTTAAAAGTTTTCATGACAGCTTTAAGGGCCTTGCTTTCACACTACATCTACTGAGTTGTTTGGAAAGTTCTTGTCATTTGGCTGGTGTCATGATTTTGACATCCAAAATACATAATGTAATCTTTATAGAGGTGCAATATATTCATTCATCCAAATTGGTGTGTCTAGCTCTTGACATCTATATTATTGCCATCAGTAATTTTTGCCAAATATTGTATATATTATGTTATATAAAAGAACATGAAAAGGTGCAATTATAAGCTTCTGGCATTTTATGAGTTCAAACTCAGTCATAGTGCAGCTGAGACAATTCACAATTTAGAATAAGCTTTCCAAAGCAATGATCCAAAAGAATGGATGGTGAGAGATTGGTTTAAGTAGTTCAAATCCAGAGATGAGAGAGCCTTGAAGATGCCCCTAGAGCAGTCACCTTAAACTCACTATAGAAGATTGTTTGAAAGAATTTGTTGAAGTTAATCCCACAGCAATATGATCAGATCTGATCACATTGATGTGTGACACAGTACTGTGGGAGAGCATTTGTATGTGATGGGGAAAGTAAAAAAATTGGATCAGTGAGAACCCTACAAACTGACAGAGCACCAGATACAGATCAGGTTGGAGGTTTGCTGTTTGCTGCTGTTGTGAAACAAAAACGAACCTTTCATGCAAAGAATCATCACTTGTGATAAGTGGCTCTTATATGATATTAGAAAAAAAACCTCACAATATATGGGTTATTCCAATGAATTGTCCAAATCTTCTCCTAAACCTAGTCTTCATCATAAGAAGACTATGGTGACTGTTCGGTGGTGTACAGCCAGATTATTGCATTAAGGCCTTCTCAGACCTGGTGAAACTATGAGAGCAGAGATAGATTGTCAAGAACTACAAGTTATTTACCAGAAATTGTGCAAAAATCAGTCACTATTGGTCTACAAAAGAAGTCCCATCCTTCTTCATGACAACACCAGGTCATAAGTGTTTAATGCAACCATGTAGAAATTGCACTAGTTGGATATAGATTCTGCTTCACTCATGGTATTTTCCAGATCTATCTCCAACAAATTTTCACTTTTTTTAGGCTCTGGATAATTTCCTCCACAATATGTGCTTCCAAGATCAGACATGTCGTAAACACTTTTCAGATATTTGTTGCTTCCAGAGACATGAATTTTTATCAACATGGAATATTTGCACTTCAACATTGACAAGAGTGCATTTGTTGAAATGGTGGTTATTTTAATTAAATCAGTTGATATTTACCTGAGTTGAAAGCATTGATTCAAAACAGCAAGAACTTTCCAAACAACCCAATACAAAGTTTTGAAATCTATCAAATATTTTTTTTATAATTTATAAGAATCTAATATTTTGTAACCATTCAATGTGGGTACCTTTTAAATCATTAAAGAGAAAATAATAAAAGATTATTATATAGAAGGCAATAAGTTTTCTAATATTTTATTATATATACACTGAAGGTCTGTAAAAAAGGAGGTTGGTTAGAACAAAAAATTAAGTATGATAACATATAATAAAACTATGGAAAAATTGCAGAAATCAGCATATCAATTATTTCAATGAATAGTTAGCATTACTAAATTATAACAGCATTATATTATAGACTTTTTATACATATAAAGGATGTGCACTTAAACATCTACCCCAGAGCAAAAAATGTCCTTCCAGTATTTATTGGTTAGATTAGTTTGTTGACTGCAATGAACATAAATACATTAGCTATTACATTCCCATAACATACATCCATTCCATTGCTATCTGCAATTTGCAAAACACAACATGCAGAGGATACTGCACAGAAATTTGAGTGATGCAACATAATGTTAATTTTACAGCATGACAAACCACAACTCCTTTAGCACATTTCATGGATTGATGTGGAACTGTTTTCCTGAAATGAAATGTATAGCTGTTACAATGTATATCACTGGGTATAGCTAAGTAGAGTATGCTCCACAATGCACATAACATATATAATACCAAGTGCATTTTACCCTAAACATCTGATGTAGAATTTAGGATGAGCAACTTCCTGGCCAATTGGGTGTCTCCATCAAAATCAGCTCTCAAATTTTTTTCCATTTAGACAGGAATCTGATAGTTTGAATTTTGAATGATTCTGTATTCATTGATAACATTCTGAAACAGTAACAGATATCTGAACATCCCAAACATGATGATGAACAAATGGCTTGATAACTTGACACTGGTACAACCATAGCAGGTTTAGTACTAGCATGATAGCATGCAACCCTTCATTTCCAGAACAGTTACGCATCAGTGGCTTGCAGAGTGGAACATAGCCCATTCCATAAACACCACATTCCCCAGACTTGACCATTCTGGATTTTTTCCTGTGAGGCCATCTAAAAGCATCAATATATGATGTTTGCCCAGCAGCACTGCATGATGGTAAACTGGAAAGTCACATACAAGAGGCCTGTGAAACAGTGACATCAGGAATGCTATATGCAATCCATAACATTTCACTCAACCATTTATATCTTTGAATTGTCACTAAAGGAATTTATATCTTTATATTATCATCTTGTACATATTCTATAGCAAAATAATGTTCATTTTTTGTATTAATTTTTACCATATTAGCGTTATCCTTTACAATCAGAGATTATTTGTATCTTAAAATGTATATCTTAAATTATTCCCTTTGGTTATTTTAGTACTGGAACAAGTGCACACCACACACATATACTTATGGAATGCTGTATAGATCTCTTTTGTCCTTCGATAAATGTTTAAGTCCTCTGTATATAACAGGGGTGGGCAAGCAAGAGTTCAGTGGGAGCCAAAATGCAGGTTTTGCAAAATGCATGTGAGCCGCAGTTTTGTACTTTTTTTTATTCTGTAATGCCGTTCTGTACCGCAATTTTATCATATAATATAAATATAATATAAAACAAATATTGAATTTTTTTAATAAACATATTTTCACAAAATTGTGGAAATAATAATAAAAAGCAGAAACTAACACTTTCAACAAGAGCCGCATGTAACTCAAAAAAAGCCACATTTGCCCATGTCTATACAGTGGGTGATCGTTAACAAACATAATCCGTTCCAAGACTTTGTTCGCTATCCGAATGTTCATTAACCGATTATCAATTTACCATAGGTTTCTATGGTAAATCGATTTGATTAATTTGTTCTGAAAACCCCAAAAAATAAAAAATATATAGTTTCTTACTACATTTATTCATATGTAATAATAAAAATACGTATATACACAGTCTTACATTTTTATTTGTCATGTTTTTTCTGTTTATGGGGGTTAAAGAATCTGTCCAATGTTGATTGCTTTTCTGTCTTCTTCATGATTTTTCAGAAGTAATTAATCACATTGTAATTGTAGAGATCCCTAAGCCTATTAACCTCAGCCTGATTTGAATGCCATTTTAAGACCGTTGTTCTGACATCTTCCCACTTCTTCAAAAGATCTTTAATAGCAGATATTGGCATAAATCCGCTTTTTCAGAAGAAAACATAAAAGAATTGTTTCTATCAGAAATATAAAAGGCTAGAATTACAAGGGAGAGTTTCAAAGTTAGGGGAATACTATCTGATCAGTATATACTGGGTTGAACGTCGATGTCAATGTCTCCCATGCTCTGAAAAGTTTTGAATTGTTGCCTGTAGACAAAGGAAGACCAATCGGTATTCATTATTTTATGTCACTTCTTCTTGTTCAGTGAAGTGTTCGTTGTCCAATCATAAAAATCTCTCGCGAAAGTGTTCGTTATCTGATTTGTTCATTAACCGATCATCCACTGTATGTCATATACTACAAAAAGTATTAAAATTTTGTTACAATTTCTTATTAAAAATGTTTTCATTTTTCAATTTTATACTCTGATAATATATATACATATACACATTAGTGTTTTTTCTTGAAAACAGTTTGTTGTAAAAGATTAACTATAAAAAATATTCTCCAAACCCATGTGAAGAATCAATTGGTGACATTGACATTAATCAGGACTCAGTAGAAATAAAGTTAACTATAACTGATTATGAATTTCTTATCAGAATA